TCTGCAACAGTCAGAAGCCATCGGATTGACTCCATTTTCCCCCTCCCGTTGAAATAGTGCAGAGTAACTTTTCCAGACATGGCTGTAACAGGGTGTTCAAACTCGCAACGTGAATGCACCTAAACGAGGTTTAAGAGAGAGGTACCTCTGCAAAACAGACAGGTAGGGGCGTCAAGTCGCGTTATTCTTATACAATGGGAGGGGGAAAATGGAGTCAATCCGATGGCTTCTGACTGTTGCAGAAGTGGAGGTGAGTAAAGAAAATGGCAAAGTCTGCAGACTTTTTGAACCTCTCATGTGCACAACTTATAATGACTTGTGTTCACAGTTTGATGAGGTTTTCCTGACAACCAGAGAGCAGTACCTGAAACTCCTGAATGGTGAGTTCAGATAAAAAAAACACGTCAGCTCACATGCACTAGTGGGTGGATACTTTTTGACCTGTGTCCAAGTTTCTTAATCTTGAACTGCTGCCTACATGTGTTGCATTATATCCTAATGGGGAGTAGGTTAAATATTTAGCTCGGGCGGGTGTATTTTATGACTGGGGTAGTGAGCGATGGATGTGATAATTTCATTATCTTCAGGAAGTAGCGCTCCACCTTGACCCTGTCCTGTGTTTTCTCTGCAGACGGGGAGCTCATGTTTCAACAGGTTCCTTTGGTGGAAATCGATGGCATGAAACTCGTGCAGACAAAAGCAATCCTGCACTACATTGCAGAGAAATACAACCTCTATGGGAAAGATGTCAAAGACCGTGCCATGTATGTTCCTGTTCTGTTATGAACTAACAGATTATTGATGATTGATCATTAATAAAACATTGTTTTTAGGATCAATATGTACTCTGAGGGACTGATGGATCTTATGGAATTGATCATGATGCTGCCCTTCGTCGCAGACCCCCAACCGAAACGTGACAACATTCAAACTAAAGCTAAAGAGCGCTACCTGCCTGTGTTTGAGAAGGTAAGGTGGAAATAATAAAACCCCATTGTTACATGTTAAATTAGATGAAACCCTTAGAATATGATTGTTCTAAATTTGATGCAAGACGCAGCAACGCTAAAGAAGCTGCACCACTCCCCTCAGGCGCTGAGTGGACCCGTTTACCTGGCGGGAGGTAAGCTCAGCCTTGCAGACGTGCTGCTGGTTGAATGCACCTTGATGCTCGAGGAGACATTTCCTGCAATCCTCGCAGACTTTCCAAACGTCAAGGTAAAAAGTGTTCTCTTGACTTTGTGAAAACATCTCAGTCCTCGTCCCTCCTGGGTTTAAATTTGTCCTTTTGTGTTTCCGTCCAGTCTTTCCAGGGCAGAATGACTCAGATTCCTGCCGTCAGCAGGTTCCTGCAGCCGGGCAGCAAGAGGAAGCCGCAGGCAGATGAACATTTGAAAAATACCGTCATGAAAGTGTTTAACATCGCCTTATAATAATCTGATCGAAAGATGCATTCCTCACACGACTGGCATGAGTCCACGTGGCTCGCTCACGATAAAATTAAAATTACACAGTCAAATACAGAAGAAAAAACAATTTATTTTTGCTTGAGATGAATTTCTGCTGCTTTCTAACAATACTGTGAAGACCTGAATTAAACAAATAGCAATTTTGGGGGGAAACCTTTGAGAAGTTGGTGTGTTTTGTTCTGTTTCTGGCTTTTACTTTGTTTACCTTGTCACTTTTATATATATATATATATATATATATATATATATATATATAT